TAAACATTTTATTACGGGAGTAAGAATTTATATGAGAGGAGAGAAGCTGAGAAAGTTATGATCCAAAGGGGAGATTTGGAGAATGAGTCATGTCACTAAGCAGTCCTCCACAAGGCTAGGTGAACGAGGAGTGCTTACAGGACAACTAGAAGCCAGTTTTGTCTCATTCCTGGAATGAGACCATGAAAAGTAACTTTATAGAGGGCTGTTCTTGGCCAGGCATGGTGGCTCACACCTGTAATCCCAAAACTTTGGGAAGTTGAGGGTAGCAGATTGCTTAAGCCCAGGAGTTCAAGACCAGCCTAGGTAATATGGTGAAATCCCCATCTCTACAAAAATTAGCAGGGTGTAGGGGTACACACCTGTAGTCTCAGCTACTTGGGAGGCTGAGAGGTAGGATCGCTTGAGCCCAGCAGGTCACGTCTGCAGTGAGCCAGGATTGTACCACTGCACTCCAGGACGAGATCCCGAAAAAAAAAAAGAGGGCTGTTTTGTGGCTGGTGGCAGGCCTGTGGTTGCTGTTGATTAGTAGGGTTTACAATTGGGTAAAAGAACTGGCTACACACCAGGAGAGAGCAAGATGAAGATAAAACCTACCAGCACTTCTGCATGTGTTTTTCCACACACTACATTTAACCAAGTTCACACATTACATTTTGTTGTTTCTGCAGCTTCTTTTAAATTAGAATGAAACTGTTCAAAACCATAGCAACTAGCTACATGTGGCTACTTAAATTAATGAAAATAGAATAAAGTCTAAAATTCAGTTCCTCAGCTATGCTAGCCACATGTCAAGGGCTCAGTAGCTACGTGTGACTTGAGATGAACACATCAATATAGAACTTTTCCAATCTTTGCAGAAAGTTCTACTGAACATTTTTTTTTTTTTTAGACGGAGTTTTGCTGTTGTTACCTAGACTGCAGTGCAATGGCACGATCTCGACTCACCACAACCTCCGTCTCCTGGGTTCAAGCAATTCTCCTGCCTCAGCCTCCCAAGTAGCTGGGACTACAGGCACGCACCACCATGCCCAGCTAATTTTTGTATTTTTAGTAGAGACAGGGTTTCACCTTGTTGACCAGGATGGTCTTGACCTCTTGACCTCGTGATTCAACCGCCTCAACCTCCCAAAGTACTGGGATTATAGGTGTGAGCCACCCTGCCCAGCCTGAACATGTTTTCTTAAAATAAATAATACTCCTTTTATTTTGCTAGATTGAGGCTTTAATCTAGCACAAAAGGACCCAACTAGAATATAGTCACTTGAAACTTAACCATTTATATAAATTAATTACATTATTGTGTCTATTTTTTCAACTCAGCTGATAAAATGTGACTAGTTCTTTTCTTCCGGTGTTTGCGTTGAGATTAATGAAGAGATGAAAAGCCAGCAAGAAGAGTGTGAGGAAATTAAAGTCTTAGATAATTCAATCACAGAATTCTCCAAGAAGACAAGGATAATGATATAGTTTATCAGACTACTAACTTGTATATCTGTAGACCTACTTTTATTTTAAATATTTTTTGTTATAAAAGATAATACATACTCCCATAAAAATATTCAACAATTATGTAAACATATAAAATAGAAGTAAAAATATCCTATAATCTCATTTCCAAAGAGAGCTACTGTATAAAAATCTAAATCATGTATATTTCTTTCAGTTTTTATCTCTCTAAATACTAATATTATTTTCACATATTTAACAAGAAGGGTTTCATATCATATATGTCATCTTATTATGAATATAACTAGTTTTTTCACCTCATATGTATGTTTGGGTACATTTTCTTTTTCTTTTTTTTTTTTTTTTGCAGAGACAAGTAAACATTTATTTTTGTACCTTTCCTCCTATGTGTATTTCAAGTCTTTCTCACAAGGCCCCAGGAATCACCAGATTCACTTATGTCCCTGGACTTGTCCACTACTGCAGGAGTCTTAGGGAGCCTTGTACAAATGCTAGAATTACTCAACTACCAACATTAAACCCTAGGATAAGAGATGCAGCAAAGCAGGACTCCTTCCTCCATGGAATGTGCTGATTTCAGATGAGGCAGCAGCCAATGTAGAAAACGCTGGAATTTTTCCTTGGAACTGGATTGTGATGAGAGATACTTGCCATGAACATAGCTACTGTTTTTTTCTTTTCTTTTTTCTTTTGAGACAGAGTTTCGCTCGTTGCCTAGGCTAGAGTGCAATGGTGTGATCTTGGCTCACCACAACCTCTGCCTCCCAGGTTCAAGCGATTCTCCTGCCTCAGTCTCCCAAGTAGCTGAGATTACAGGCATGGGCCACCATGACCCGCTAATTTTTCTATTTTCGGTAGAGACAGGGTTTCGCCCTGTTGATCAGGCTGGTCTTGAACCCCCAACTTTAGGTGATCCGCCCTCCTCAGCCTCCCAAAGTACTGGGATTACAGGCATGAGACACTGCGCCTGACCAGCTACTGTCTTTTCTTTGATACTTCCTTTCCAGTTTTCAAAGATAAAGCAGGAAATAATCTTCTCTGAAGATACTTGATACAAATTCTCCAAACCCAAAAACACATGCTTCTACTTCATTGATAAAAATTTATTGCAGTTTGGCACCTGGTGCCAATTCAGCTGGCGGATGAGCTGATTGATGCGCTCACCCCGATAGCCAGGTGTGCCCATGATCCTTGAGGAAGCCCACTCTATTTTTGGTAGCATGACGGGCCACTGAGAGGTGGAAAGGGCTCAAGAACCATGAGATCTCCTGGAAATGCTTCCCCGGAAAGGCAATTTCATGAATGAGGTCTTCCAAGCAAATGACACCAAACTTCCCCAGGTGCTCCTCAATCACAGTGTTGTCTGTCAGAGGGATGGTCTTATTCTTGACCCTGGCTTGTCCACGTTTCAAAATGAGTTCCCAGACAGACTTCAGATTTGGAAATCCCCAGGTCACATAAGGTTCCACTATACGCAGCATTTTTAGGTTCTGGGGAGTGACTTTTACGAAGACACCACTAAAAATTTTCTTTAGGCGAAGTCTTGCAATGGTTCTCTGCACCAGTAAACTCACACCATCAATCCTTTCAATGCGTACGACAAAGGCCAAAGAATGTTTATCTGGCAATTCCAAGGCGTGAGGCTTCACTTCTAGTCGTCTGACACGCACCTTGTCACGGGTCTGCCGCCAGGAATCATGTAGGAATGATTCCAATCGCTTAAACCTGGGCCCTTTTGCTTTCCTCTGCTCCTTCTTTGCCAAAAGTGCCTGCTTTGCCTGAGTGGCTTTGAGGGCTTGATAAGCCTTCCTCTTTTTCAGGAGATTTTCTGGAACCAAAGGGATTTTTCTTTGCTCTTGCTCCGCCATCTTTCCGGTGTAGCAGCTCTGTTTGGGTACATTTTCATGTCAGTATACTTCATACTTCATATACTTCAACTTTAAATAGTTCCATAAAGTTTCATTTTACAGATGTTTTATAATTTCTATAGCCAACCTATTACTGATGAGCATTTGGTTGATTTTTGTTTGTTGCTGTTTTTTGTTTTTACCATTACAAACAATTCCATAATAAAAATCTTTGAGTATTTGTGTTATATAAGTATATTTTGATTTACCTCTTTTTCACGACCTTGACAATTGTTTAAATTTATTGTTAAATCGGATTTTTTTTTTTTTTGCAGTCAAATTCATTTATTTTGTAGCTTAAGCAAGACAGGTAGTATACAAATTCATAATGAAAATGCCACCCAGAGATTAACAGCTTGCCATGCATGCAACTGTGTGCATAAAACCAAGTTGTTTTAATACCAGTGTTCAGCTTTGATTCCTCCATGAAATTAACTCTGTGTTGCTCACATGTTACATAATTCAGGCCACTCTGAATATCTGTTAGTGGGGAATTTACAACCCACTGACTATCTCAGCTCAAAGCCAGATGACTATCACCTATACATCTACCAAGGTAATAGCATGGCAAATAGTATTTTTTCTTGTTATGTAACCAATGGCACGGATACACCAACACGGAGATACCCAGAAGGCACCTCCACTCACTCAGCTGACAACCTTCCTAACATTTCTTGGAAACAAGAGTACCATGCATGTACTATGAACTGGTACTCATTTTGAGGCAAGGGAGGGCTGTCCCCAGGTTACAGCATGGGTAGCTGGATGTTTTCAGAATAGCTGTTTCAGCACAACCGACCAGAAACATTGCCCACAGTGACAGTTTAAGATGAGCCTCCTGACATCCTGGTAGACAGTCAGACCCCCTGACTAAAGCTTGGCTCAATTAAGGGTTGGTGAAAGGTATGGAGATTTGGGAGAGCCTGCAAGAGGTAGGAGGCAATACCCTAGTTTATACTGTTTTATGTAGAGCTCAGCCTCATCTGAAGGTGAAGTCATAAATTCACAACATACTAGAGGTGGGATGGATAACTCCAGACATTCAACCTATAATTAAAACTTTGGCAGTCCAGAAAGGTAAAGCACTAAGGGTAGAGCATGGTAGTGGCAGGGCCAGATTAGAGCTCAGTAGGCTAATCCTCACCCAAGAATGCTGACAGTAAGTATTTGGCCAAATTTTTCAACAAGGAAGATGAGCTAGTATAAATCAGAGGCGTCCAATTTTTTGGCTTCCCTGGGCCACACTAGAAGAAGGATTGTCTTGAGCCACACATAAAATACAGTAACAATAGCTAGTGAGCTTTGAAAAAATAGCAAAAAAAAAATCTCATTTTCAGAAAATTTACAAATTTGTGTTGGGCTGCATTCAAGGCCATCCTGGGCCACATGCTGCAGGTTGAATGTCAATACTTTAATACCCCCCAAAGCTCCAAATGTATTAAAAAGCAAAAACAAAACGAAACAAACAAACGAAAAAACACTCAGCCTAATCAGCTCAGCTCTCTTCTAAAGGGGTCTCTTCCGTGTCTCTCTGTGCCTATCTCTGTGTGGCTCTCTCCCCCCAACACAATTTTGGTGGATGCAGATTTCTTGCTATATACAAAGACAGAACCACATCTCCAGGAAGACCCTTTACAGAGCATGTTTCTCAATTCAGGTCTTTATGTGAGGTCTGGGAAAGTGGCTTAGTTTCCAGAACAATAGGGGGTTCAGAAATCAGAAGATCATCCTCTCCAAAGGAGTTCTGGTCTGTGTTCACAAAGTTGGGGATGTCAAACTTCATGAGCCTGTTCAGCTCCTCCTCTGGCTGCCCAGTGCTTCTGACGGCCTCCTGGAGTTGGACATCACTGTCAAGGGCTGTGGTCTGATGACAAGCTTTCACCTTGTCCAAGCGTTCCACCTCATTGATGTAGCAGTGAAAGAGAGACCTGGCCTCCTCGTTGCCTTGGCGAGAAAATACCTTATCCAACTCCAGAGGTCTTCCAAAGTCTGACACAAAGCTGTTCATTCTGAATCTCTTCTCTGAGGATTCTGCATTGTCTTGGTGTGGGGCTCCTGTCTTGGTCAGCAAGGTCAGCACAAAAAACATGAAAATCACTTGAAGACTGCAAGACCAACCCAAAATCCAATCAGGATGGAATATTTATGAGTCTTGAGTCCTTCAAAGGAAACTGGTCCAATCGCAAAACATTCATATTCCCAGGTGTAATCAGAATTAGATGACGATTGCTGGGAGGTTCTGTTAGAAATTAACCTCTGGGCAGACATCTCCAACTGGCTGGTGCGCCCCTGCCCGTGGGCTCGGCCCTGGTCCCAGCTCCTGGCTCCTGAGAGATGAGCGACCGCCGCCGCCGCTGCCGCCGCCGCCGCCACCCCTGCTGCCTCCCACCTCCCAGGGCGGGCGAGTAGCCTGGAAATTTTATATAGAGAAATTTGCCTATAAATAAATGAAGAATAGAACTTTTACAATATTAAATCAGTTACTAAACTGATTCAATCATGTGTGTATTTACTTTGTGTAAATGTTGGTTAGGGAAAAGACTACAAATATAAACCCCATAGTCTAAAAATGCTCAAAACCCACTCTATAGCTGGAAAAGAGGTAGAAGTGTTATAGTACAGAAAGGGCAGTTACTAGTCGGAAGGAAAATATAGCCATAGGAATGGGAAGAAATAAAACTCCATGAAAAGGAAATAAATTACCATAAGAGATTTTAATACTGCACTTTCCTAGGTTAAGGCTGATAATAAATAAACAAGGACAAAAATGTTAAGTAATTTAATTAGTAAGTTTAAAGTAGTATTTTATATACATGTTGAACTTGGTATCTTACAGAGAATACAACTTTTCAAGCACTTACAGATGCTGACAAAAATCATGCTATTAGGTCACAGAAAAACCTGCAATGAATTTTTTTTTTAGATAGAGTTTTGCTCTTATCACCCAGGCTGGAGTTGCACACTGCAACCTTTGCCTCTTGGGTTCTGGCGATTCTCCTGCCTCAGCCTCCTGAATAGCTCCCATTACAGGCATGCACCACCACACCGGGCTAATTTTTTGTATTTTTAGTAGAGACGGGTTTTGCCATGTTGGTCAGGCTGGTCTTGAACTCTTGGCCTCAGGTGATCCACCCACCTCAGCCTCCCAAACTGCTAGGATTACAAGTGAAAGCCATCGTGCTGGGCCAACAAATTTTAAAAATCAAAATTGAATAGCCTAAATCTTCTGAATTCAATTTCATACCCCTACAAGTTAACCAGAAAAGGTTAGTAAAAAACTGTGCCCAGTTAGAATGTTTAATTTGATTTATTGATGTATCAAGTTATTTATTGAATTATTTATTTATTTTGAGACAGTCTTGCTCTGTAGCCAGGCTGGAGTGCAGTGGCACTATCTCTGCTCATTGCAACCTCCACTTCCTGGGTTCAAGCGATTCTCCTGCCTCAGCCTCCCGAATAGCTGGGACTAAAGGCATGCACCACAATTCCCAGCTAATTTTTGTATTTTTTAGTAGAGACCGGGTTTCATCACGTTGGCCAGGATGTTCTCAATCTCTTAATCTCGTGATCCACCCACCTCAGCCTTCCAAAGTGCTGGGATTAGAGGTGTGAGCCACCACGACCGGCCTAATTTAATTTTAAAACAAAAATTAAACTCTTTTTCTTTTTTTTGAGTTGGAGTTTCACTCTTGTTGCCCAGTCTGTAGTGCAATGGCACAGTCTCGGCTCACTGCAGCCTCCGCCTGCCAGGTTCAATCGATTCTTCTGACTCAGCCTCCTGAGTAGCTGGGATTACAGGTATGTGCCACCACACCCAGCTAATATTTTTTGTATTTTTAGTAGAAATGGGGTTTCTCCATGTTGGTCAGGCTGGTCTCAAACTCCCGACCTGAGATGATCTGCCTGCTTCTGCCTCCCAAAGTGCTGGGATTACAGGGCTAAGCCACCATGCCCGGCCATAAAATACATTCTTCTAAGTATATTTTGGATTCAACAAAAATAAAGATCAAAGTAAGATTGCAATAAACATTTATTTGGGCTGCATAGCAAAAAGCTGAGCATTAAAATCAATGGTGGCTAAGACTGTTATCTGTTGATGTTGGCAAGGGCAAATTCAGTGGAGTGATGGAAGCAAAGGTGAGAATGCAGTGGGCTACAATGTGAGTAGATCAGCATACAAGGCAGGCGTAGACACCTATTTTTTTTCATTTTTTTGAGGTGGATTCTTGCTCTGTCACCCTGTCTGGATTGTAGTCATGCGATCTCAGCTCACTGCAACCTCCATCTGCCACCTGGGTGAGAGTGATTCTCCCGCCTCAGCCTCCTGAGCAGCTGGGACTACAGGTGCATGCCACCACGCCAAGCTAATTTTTTGTGTGTGTTTTTAGTAGAGACAGGGTTTCACTGTGTTAGCCAGGATGGTCTTGATCTCCTGACCTCGTGATCCACCCACCTCAGCCTCCCAAAGTGCTGGGATTACAGGCATGAGCCACCATGCCTGGTGACAACTCTTTCAAGAAACGTGGCCGTAAAAAAAGAATGAGGGATAACTTGGTAGATAGAAGGGAACTTGAAGGCAAGGGATATTATAATTTTTATGTAAAGTGATTTGGGACATTTAAAAGTGGGAGAAGCCAGAAGAGAGGGGGAAGTAGAAAATAAAGGAAAAAAAGAGAGAATCTAGGCTTTTAGAAGGTCAGTTAAGCTCTACAGCAAGGGCAAGGATCTTTGTTTTGCTCACTTTTTTGTGCTGATAATATCACATTAGTTTCCTAGGGCTTTCATTACAAAGTATCACAAATTGGGTGGCTCGAAACAACAGAAATTTGTTTGTTGTCTCACAATCCTGGAGGCTAGAAGTCTGAAATCAAAGTTGGCAGAGCCATGCTTCCTCTGAAGCCTTTCTTGCCTCTTCTCAGCTTCTAGTGGTATTCAGGCAGTCTAAGACATTCCTTGGCTTGTAGCTGCATTACTCCAACCTCTACCTTTATCATTACATGATGTTCTCTCTTTGTCTCTGTTTTTTTTTTTTTTTTTTTTTGAGACAGAGTTTCACTCTTGTTACCCAGGCTGGAGTGCAATGGCGTGATCTCGGCTCACCGCAACCTCCGCCTCCTGGGTTCAGGCAATTCTCCTGCCTCAGCTTCCTGAGTAGTTGGGATTACAGGCACGCGCCACCATGCCCAGCTAATTTTTTGTATTTTTAGTAGAGACAGGGTTTCACCACGTTGACCAGGATGGTCTTGATCTCTTGACCTCGTGATCCACCCGCCTCGGCATCCCAAAGTGCTGGGATTACAGGCGTGAGCCACCACGCCTGGCCCATGTCTCTGTTTTTATGGCCATCTGCTTATAAAAACAGCAATCATATTGGATTAAAACTCACTTTACTCCATCACCTCATTTTAACTCGTTATATTTGCAACGATCCTATTTCTATTCTGTGGTACAAGGGATTAAGACTTCAACATATCTTTTTTGGGAAGGCATAATTCAACCAAGTAAATTCTGTATTTGTTGACTAAATAAATGTGATTCAGAACACTGGGGGAGAAATTTGCCTTACCCCTCAGGACACCATTCTATTGTAGTGAGAAGAATGAAAAACAGTGGATACATATGAAAGCTGGGGTAAGGAAATTGTGTCGTCTGACAACATCGAAATTCTCCATGAAGAGGGAGGTGAAATCATATTTTTAGGTGAGGAAAGAATTGAGATAGGAGAGGAAGGAGTGAAGAAATGTGGAGGAGAAAGGAAGTCTGAAGAAAGAAAACTGACAAAGGAAATAAGAACTGCCTTGTAGCATTTAGAGCCTGGTTGAGTTGGAGACCATAAATTTATGGTGGCCTAAATCTGCATCGCCATGTGATTTCTGCAGCAAGGCTCAGTAATACTGGCATGTTACTGAGAAAGGCAATGGTTGAATCAATCCATAGCTGGGGTTTTTCTAGGTAGTGTTACAGACCAGTGGGTTCTCCTTGCCCATCTCACAGAAAAGCCAATACACTGAGATAGCAGTGTTGCAGCAGAGTTTAATTATAGCAAGGCAACTAAATGGAAGGATGGGAGATACTTCTCAAAATCTGCCTCCCCAAGAATGCAGAGGTTAGAGTTTTGAAGGATAATTTTGTGAGCCGGATCTAGGGAATGAATGCTGCTTATTGGTTAGGGATGATAGCTTAGGGAAGTTGAAATTGTCCTTGTGCACTGAATCAGTTTTTTCATGGGGATGTTGGAGAGTCACAGGCCCCATAGTGTCAGTTCTGTGGCATGGGTTACAGGTACAGCTAGCATCTGCAGGATGCAGAAGTCTGAAAATTATCTCAAACATCAGTCTTAGATTTTACAATAGTAATGTTATTTATAGAAGCAATCAGGGTTACAAATCTTGTGGCTTCCAGCTATATAACTCCTGAACAGTAAGCAATATAGAAAAGCAGAGAGAGAGAGATGATGGTGCCGTAGGACCAACTCAGGATTACAGCTTCCAGTGAAACTGCAGATGGTGAGTGGACGCCGCATTTCCAGATGGATCTTTATTGCCCACAGACCAGGAGATTCCCAGGTGTAGGAGCTGCACGGGCTGCCAGCGCAGCTGTTTGGGCCAGCGTGGCTGTTTGGGCTGGGGCCACAGCGCAGCGGCACTCTGTACAAAATACACTGGTTTGGTTGCCCTGTTAAACCGGCAATTGGAGATTTCGGAAGGCAGATTAGCACATTCATCTGATTAAACGGGACTTAAACAGAAAGCCAGGCCAGGAGATTTCCAGGCAGCAACGTGGTTCCAGCCGGTGCAGTGGGTCACTGCATGGGAAATCACACAGATCCTGGTGCCTTTCAGCAGGCAACTGGAACACCCGGGAGAGAGTCAACTGTTCAACTTAAAAAAAAAAAAAAAAAAAAGGGAGCCAGGTGATCAGGCTCAGTGGGTCCCACTCCCACAAAAACAAACAAAACAGCAATTGGAAATGCTTGGGGTTGAGAGTTTCATGGCAAGCACAGCTGAACCCAGGATGGTGCACCTCAGAGGGGGAGGGGCGTCCGCCATTACTGAGGCACTCGACCCCTATGGAGGTACACTGCCATTGCTGACGAAGCCTGCCGTTGCTGAGGCAACCCGCCATAACAGGGAGAGTCCGCCACTACAGAGGCGGGCCATCATCACCACGGCAGCTCTAACCACACCCATATAAACAGGACTACAGGGAATCACACATGGCAGCAGGGTGGAGCCCACGGCAGCAGGGCGGAGCCCACGACAGCTCAGCATAGC